CTTGGCACAGTCACAAGCTTGAAGGTGACTGATTGTCCAAACATGGCCTGAAGTGCTTGTCCCAAGGGTCCAAGCATCCAAGACCAAACTGAACCCTCCTATCAAAAGAGGAGCAACCAAGTACCCATAAGATATGTATGGGTGGCAGGGGCGGACTGACCATTTGGAAACTCGGGCACTGCCCGAGGGCCCGGGTCAGTAGGGGCCCCCATGAGATGCTCCCGGTACCTTTGTCATAGGCTTTTTTGAGTTTGGGCAAGGACACAGGGGCCCCATGATACCCTATTGCCCGGGGGCGCCATGAGTTGTCAGTCCGCCCCTGATGGGTGGTAGAATCTGAAAAAGACCAGGATGCATCCCATCTTCCTGAAGTGGATCTCTTTGCGGACTTCTTGGCTGAGGATTTTCTTTCTCTTTCCAGTTTTTTCTGGACTCCAAGCTGGGACTGCAGGAACAAATCTCTTTGTAGTTAGACACTGACTCTTGAACTGCAGACATTTACTCTCAGGCAGGAGGCCAGACTAAATGCAATCCCAGCTCTTTGCTATCAAATGACGCTTGCCCTTTAAGAGGACAGTTTCAGCTCTTGCAATACAGACAAGATCCCTCACTTGTAAGGATTATTCTTTAGGGTAGAATTAATATTCTCCACCCCAACTTCCATTGGATTCCTCTAAGGAATTGTTTGAAGAGGGTTAATTGGCCATTTCTCAAAGGAAAAGAGCTGGATATTCTCAGAGTAGAGACTCCTTGCACTGGGAGAGTTGTAACAAACAAGTAGAGTCTCTTGGCTACTTGTGACAACCTGCTGGTCATTGTCATCTTCCTCCCTGGCTGCACAAACAAATTAGGAATTCATACAGGGTTTTGCCTGCCTACACACAAGCGCCAAGTGCCCAGTATGCATAATGCATGCAGATCTGGAGGGGCTTAATAGCTTGTTCCCATTAGTCAGCTTCAACAATGTGCACTTGAGTTTAACTTCTGTACCTCTGTACAGGATGGGGACCTCTGCAGTGCAGTTCTGTTCAGGTTGATGCAATGAGATGGCATATGACATAGGGAGTGCCGACAACCCCTCATGGCAGGAGGCAATTCCAACTATAACAAGTACACTCTACGACAGGCTGCTTGCTGACTGTACCTTCATTTTTCGTGGCAATCCCAATTATGACTAGCACTGGAATGACTCTTAACTAGCTGACTCTTCATACCCCATGTGCTAGTGACCCAAGCTGTAAACTAAGTGTGACGTTGTGCCAGTTACTTGCATTACACACCTCTGAGTAACTTAAAACCAGGCAGGTGTCGAAGTTTAAATGCTTTGCTTAGATAAGTTCAATGGTAAAAAGTCCAAAACAACAAACATCACATTTCCAGTGATTCCAGATAACAGCTATTGTCCCTAAGTTCCTAGAACTAATCAGTCTATGTGCAGTCTTTGAATACCTGCAATGATGAAGTCCATGTATAAAGAGGTCCATAAGTAGCAGGCTCCAATGGATGGAATCTTCGTGGAAGGCCCCCAGGTGTCGTGGCTCTCACATCTCTCTGCTTTTCTGGTGGTTAGTTGGATGACAGACAAGCAGCAGGAACTTAGAGTTCAGACCCAGGACACGAGATTCCGGGCTCCAGATCACTGTCCCCTTTTATACTCATAGGAACAGTGGGTCGGACCCAAGGATCCCACAAAAACCAAGAACCTGGGAACTATGTTAATCCTAGCCTTCCGGGACAGCACCTAACTATTTAAGTTCCAACCTGCTAACAGACAGCTTTCCTTTGTCACTCTTCCTAAGGAAGCCATAGGTGCTTGCACTCTCCACATTCCTAGAAACCAATTACATCACCAGAAATGAATGCCATATAGATAAAGTCTAAGGGAATGCAGTGGCATCAATAACCAAATATGGCAATGACATTGACATTTGGTCATTTGGTCATTTGGTCAATGATGTTACCACCACCCCCCCTCCCTTTCCCTTATATAGCTGATTACAGCTTGGGGAGCTGTTATTTGGCTAGTGCAGGGGTAGGCACCCTATAGCTCTGTAGCTGTTGTGGAACTACATTTCCCATGAGGCATTGCAAAGATTACAAAACTGACAGTTACAGCTATAACTTGCAGAGGCATGATGGAACTTGTAGTCCTGCGGCTCTCAGGTTGCCTACCCCTGGGCTATTGGTACCATTGGGATTGGTCAAGAGTAACGTCTGTTTTTTTTTTTTGTTTGTTTTGTTTTTTACAGCAAGGGACATTTTATTGGGATTTTTAGTTTTTAATTAGAGGACTTGTCAAACATTTGGGAGTCTTTATTTCTAGGTTACAGGTTTTTTTTTACAGTTTTTTATTAATGAGTAGGAGTACTATGTATATTTTGTATCATTTGAGGGGCAGAACCTGGGGGCCCCCTTACTATTAAAGGAAGTTTCCAGGTTCCAACAAGCCTCCTGTCCTCAGATCTCCACAAACACAAGTCAGGGTCTTTAATATGTGGACAAGGTGTTTTGTTGGGGGGTCCCCCTGGCAAGGTACCCCCTTTGTTGCAGACATGTTGGCAAGGGCATGTGGTCTGGTATAGTTTATCAGGGGGGGACATATGATTGTTTACCCCCTTTCCTGGACAGCTAGGCTGCATGCTCAGATTAAGGGTCTGGTATGGATTTTTAAGAGGGCTTCATGCATTTTTTGTTTTGTTTTTTTTTGCATGGGGTCCCCCTTAAAATCTGTATCAGTCTGGTATGGACTTCCCAGGGAATGTCATGCTTTTTTTTGGTTGCAGGAGGTACCCCCTTAAAACCCATACCAAATTCAAAGGGTCTACTATGTTTTTTGGGAAGGACTCTATGCAATTTTTTTAAAATCTTGCTGCAGAATGTGCTATAGTAAAATTGACATTTAGGTTAGATTTAGACAAACGTCCAAATCTCCGAGCCATCTGAACTGGTTACACGCTTCTCCATTGACTTGAATCTGTAGTATTTGGTGGGCTTGCTGCCCACCGAACTATACATGCTGGGTCAACTTTACTGTGGCTGCAAAGCAAAGTGAAGCATCGAAGCATAAAAAAATCCCTGTCCACTGTCTGTTCCAGCGCGTGTGTGTGTGTGTGTGTGGGGGCGTATAACAGGTGAGTCTGTGTGCTTTTTTTTGTCAATGAATGTCATTTGCTGGTAACTTTATGCATTTTTGTACTTTCTGTACTTTACAGTGTGCCCTGATGATCAGTGTAGCCCCAGCAGTGCCACCTGTCAGTGTCCATCAATGCCAGCTGTCATTGCCCATCAGTGCCACCTGCCAGTGCCCATCAGTGCCACATATCAGTGCCCATCTGAGCTGCCTTTCAGTGCCACCTATCAATGCCAGTCAGTGCCACCTATCAATGCCAGTCAGTGCCATCTGTCAGTGTCCATCAATGCCAGCTGTCAGTGTTCATCAATGCCACCTGCATGTGCCCATCAGTGCCACATCAATGCCACATATCAGTGGCTACCAATGCACATCAATGACACATATCAGTGCCCATCTGAGCTGCCTTTTAATGCCACCTATCAGTGCCAGTCAGTGCCACCTATCAGTGCCTGTCAGTGTTGCCTATCAATGCCAGTCAGTGCCACCTATCAATGCCAGTCAGTGCCACCTATCAGTGCTGCCAATCAGTGATGCCTATCAGTGCCAGTCAGTGCCGCCTATCAGTGCCACCAGTCAGTGCCACCTATCAGTGCCATATATGGGTTCTGCCTTTCAGTGCCCATCAGTGATGCCTGTCAATGCCCATCAGTGCCACCTACCAGTCCCTCCTCATCAGTGCCCATCAGTGCAGCCTATCAGTGCCCATCACTGCAGCCTCATTAACGCACATCAGTGAAGGAGAAAAATCACTTATTTACAAAATGTTATAACAAAAACTAAGAAAAAACTTTTTTCAAAATTTTCAGTTGGTTTTGGTTTGTTTAGCAAACAATAAAAAACCCCGAGGTGATTAAATACCACCAAAAGAAAGCTCTATCTGTCTCAAAAATATAATAAAAAATTCATATGTGTGACCGCGCAATTGTCATTCAAAGTGTGACAGCGCTGAAAGCTGAAAATTGGCCTGGGCAGGAAGGGTACAAATTCCCTGTAGGCAAAGTGGTTAAAGGATTAATTCACCTTTTGGAGCATGTTACATGTTACACCCATACTTCGGACACCTGTGCCTAACTGCATGTAGCCGCTTGGTGTGTGGTATATGTGAACAGTGATGGTTGTTGTCAGCCTGTCAATATTATACACATCCTGAGCAGCCACTGCTATTTGCTTGCACCTGTCATTCAATCCATGGATTCTTGCCACTGGAATCTGGTGGATGCAGCCAAACAGCTTTGTAATGGAGGACTTCAAAACATTGCACTAGAAGGTAAATGGGTTGTGTTTAGCAGGCAGATCTGCCTATGGAACGTGATGGTGGGGGTAATTTTTTCCACACTAAAAGCATGAATGCCACAGCATAGGTATCCCCTTCCGCTGCCTTTGAAGCATAAGGGGAAGTGGTTAGGGAAGTGCTAAAAAAACACAGGAGAACCAAGTGTTTTTACCACCCCCCTCCCCTTCCCTGACACAAATGTAAATGGGGCCAAAAAGAAAGTATCTCATGGTGCTTATGTGATCATCATCATTTTGTGCTCAATATCACACAGAACAGATACTGGGGTACACTACCAGTGCAAACACTCTGCAGCCATGAATGATACTCTTGCGAGCTGTGTGTGTATTACATTATATATGTACCTCGGTAGGAGGTTGCCTGTGCAGCCAAGAAACTCTGCAGCCTGTTGCCACTGTCTGGATGATGATCCCTATATGGTTGCACTGACTGTATCCACCACAATCCCTCACATCACCGCCATCTACAACCCCACCCTCTGCCCTCAGGACTTTAAGTGATGCAGGCAGGCATCTATTGCCTATCACTCCAACAAGGACAGAGGCTGGAGACCAGGGGCGGACTGACAACTCATGGGGCCCCCGGGCAATAGGAGATCATGGGGCCCCTGTGTCTTTGCCCAAACTCAAAAAAGCCTATGAAAAAGGTACCAGGGGCATCTCATGGGGCCCCCTACTGACCCCGAGCCCTTGGGCAGTTCCTGAGTTTCCAAATGGTCAGTCCGCCCCTGCTGGGGACTGGAAATTTAAACTTAATAGCCGGCTGTCTATACCCCCAAATTAAAGAGTCCCTGCTCTGCTACCACCTCCTGGGTCCCACCAATGAAATGATGGGACCCAAAAAAAATGTTATCTGTTTACTGGAAAGCCTAGGAGCCGGTCAAGCAATAAAAACTGCCTGTATATCATAATGTAATATAAAGCTGCATGGGTCCTCCTGTCAAACCGATGGGGGCCTGGGCCCCCTACAGCAGGACCAGTGGCACCCCCTTATCAATGGCCCTGCCCACACCCACTGTCACATTTTAAAAATAGTGCAGCTGTGCGGGGCTCCATGTCATTCATTCATTCACAGCTATCTGTGAATGGGAGCACTACAAGTACTGTCAGCCATCGCGGCTGAAGGCTTGTAGTTTGCAATGAACTGCAAGGGTGTTGATGAGCACCTTCATAGTTCATTCACAAGCCCTTCAGCTTGCAAACATTCAGCCCATATCAGAGGTACAAACTGAAAGCTGCAGAGCTTGTCTACAGAAACCTGACATTGCACCCTTAATCAACTGATCAGCTCTGCTAACTCCACAAAGAAAACATAATAAATATAAATTTTTTACCTGCAAAAATATGTGCATTTATTTTTTTTTCTGCAAAAATGTGAACTTTGCTTTTAAAATAAGCCATAATATAATTTTTTGGTGTAACCTAGAATGTACCCTATAACTGCTGTGATACTTCTTCCTTTACTGCTGCTGTATTATCCTTCTGCAGTGTGACAGGGTTAAACTGAATATTCAGTAACATGGAAATGCAGGAGTGTGTCCAGTGCAGGGGGCAGCCATCTTGGCTGGACATGATTCGATCCTAATGTCACAAATCAAGAAGGGGGGGGGGGGGGGTCTGCGTTCTTTAGTTGAAGGAGGGGACTGCTGGCAAGAAGCAACCAGGTGTGTGGGGAAAAGACAGAGCTGCTGCTGGCTGAACAGAACCTGCCATTTTCATTGACTACAACTGGGAGAGAGACCTCATAGAAGACTCTCATCATGCGGGACCTTGCCTGAGAGTCCTGGACCTTTCTCCCTGAGAGAGTGTGAGGTGTGATTTGGATACCTGGAGGGATCAGATTGTACTAGAGAACACCCCCATTGCTTGTAAGGAAGGAAGAGAGGGACTGTCTAAGGACAATAAAGGAGAGATATCACAGCAACTCTGTCTGAGGATTTGAACTAAACCATAGCATGTGCCTGGATTCCATGAAGAGGGTGTTCTGTGTCTGGGAAGAGTCTAACACTGCACAAGTTAATTGGGTTTCAAATAGGAAATGTTTTGTTTTCTTTAAGGGCCCCAACTTTGCCAGCCAACATTTTTTTTTTCCTTATATCAATCACTGGCCAGTGTGATAAAACAGGGACTGTTATAACTAGTTAGGTCAGTCTTAATTTACTGTTTCTAGGTAAATGCAGTTCAATTCTGTTAATTAGTGTTGAATGAATACTGCAAGTGTTCAACCATATCTCTCAGAGTAATGTTGTTGTGTTAGTATACGTACATCTGCTAATCCCTTCTTCTTTTAGACTATGCTTGACCTAATAGGGTATTTGAAATACGTCAAGATGTGTCGGTAAATACTGGGTGAGTAAGGTGTTTCATCGTCAGGTGTGCACAGAAATGACAAAACAATCTAGTGGCTCCTCTGTAAATAGCTCAATATAGGGTAGATACTAACATACAGTTAAAAGCAGTATAAACAGTTATGTACTTTATTTATTTTGAACAATACACTACAGCTAAAAAAGAGGAAGATTTGAAGATTGGAGGGGCATATGCATTTGGGTCCAAAAGAGGGATTGGACCTGGAAATTGAACAGAATGAAGCACTGTAATAGGTACAGATGCAGTTGTCAAAGTTCAGGTATGGGTCATCTAAGATCTTTACCTTTAATTTCCTGCACTGACTTTCATCAACAGCTATCCACAGGACTCAGTAATGTCAGAGCAGATATGCTGCATTAAACCTATTGTGGTCCAAGCATTAATGGACATGGACATGCACGTGTTGTGCCTTGCAATTAACTCATAGATTCGCAGACAGCTACTGAAAAAGCTCTCAAACTCTCCAGATAAGCAAACCTGAAGATTTTGGATCTCCTCTTCTTTGTAATGGCACCCTCAGAGCACATTGGTAAGGGAGGAACTGTAATGTACAGAATAACTAATCAACAACTACAGCATCTGCAGACGTCAACTCATATCAGCACAGTAATGCTGCTTTGCACATTTTGTGGTCCACTGATTTACAGACATGGGCAGATGTGGTGTGTAATTATCTCAGAGAAAAACAGAGGCCAGTATGCAGAAGCTAGAGGCTGTATTAATCAGTGCAGGAGAGCAGACCTGAACAACCCTGATGTTCTCTTTTGGGTATGGGCACCCTTGGAGCATATTGGTAGGGGAGTAGTAGCAATGTACAGCACTACTGAGCAGTGAAAATTAAGGAAACACAAGGAGCTGTGACAATTCATTTTTTAGTAGGACCGTGGAACACAGCAGATCTTAGGTGATAATGGCGTAACTGTTAAACCAGTTGCAGGTTTCACATGGAAGTTGGTCACACCAGGCGCAGCACAAATCGTAAATTTCTGCATTAAGCTGGTGAAGAAAAGGAACAGCTCCATTTTTGCCAGTGTTTCTCCAGGGCAAGACCTTCGTCCTATGGAAATCAGAGAGGAAAGTTTGTCAGAGTTTATGAAGGCTTCCTATAAGATTTAAATAATAAAAATCAGTTTATTTATATACATGTGTTTTTGTATAATGCTTACATTTTTGTGATTTTTACATACTTATTTTACCATATCATATCTATTATGACACTACATGCTCATAGACACATAGAAGAGTGATCTCAGAAAAAGGCCAATTGGTAAATTCATTGAATAATGACTGACAGTTGCTTGGGAGCACATGCAGGCTCGGCAGCTTGTCTTCTTGGCCTCACCAATATTTTATGAACCTGTGGAATTGCTGAGTATCAGAGATATACTGTACATCAGAGCCACATTCTGGGCTTTGTTTGAACAGAGTTCCAACACTCAGTGGTGTCCTCTGGAATTGTAACCATCTCACCACAGAAGCAACAAGAGTGGCAAAAGAATTGGAAGCAACAGTGGAGAGAGCTGGCCCGCTAGCTAGTCTAAAAGTTTATTCTCACAGAACATTTTCCTCATCTTTTTCTCAGCAATAGTCGATCATTCACCACATTCAGGCAGAGGATTACCTTGTACAAATTAACGGCTGTGTGATGGTTATTACAAACACATGGCTGGATAGGTCCATTCAGGATCAATTTAGAAGTCTTCTATGTCTGCCAAGCAGATAAGAAGGCAGACTCCAAAATCTAAATGTGGAAGGGTCTGTATATGTGAAGACAATGGCTGATGCATAGCTACTGATTTTCCAAACTTGGAATACTTCATATGTAGACCAATTTTTAGAATTACCCCCTAAAGGAAAATAACATCTTGGACCAAGTATACAGTATACAAATATCCTGAAGCATACAAAGCTGCCTTGTTGCCACATCTTGGTCTATCAGATCACATCTCACTGGTGCTGATTCCATCTCACATACCTCTAATCTTCAGAACAAGCCCAGTTATTAAAACTGTTCAGGTCTGGAGTGAGGAAGCCATCTCAGGACTGCTTTAAAATAACAGACTCGGACATTCTTGCACAAAGCTGGCAAGTTTTTTGTCCAAAATGTTTGTTTCAGGTCCCCATTACTGGGGTCAAATTGACATTCATTTTTGACCACAGTAACAAGAAAAATTTGAAGGAGCGGGATGGAAAATTTTTCTTGAACGAATAAAAAAGTCACATTACTGTGATAAAATGCATAAGGGCGGAGCTTTGGGTGATGTATTTATGAGCAGACCAGGAAGTACCTGGAGGTCCCATGTAAGTATACTGGCTGTATATGTACTGTTTAAGAAAACTATGACTGTATTTATGTGAACTGGTAATAGGTGCACTAAAATATGTGAGTGGATTTATAGTATGATTCTCTTAACCACTTTTTGACTGGGCTATAGCTGAAATTTGGCTACAGAGTGGTCGGCTGGTTCTGGGAGGGTGTCTATTGATGTCCTCCCAGAACCCTGCCCCCCTGTGAACCCCTGGGGCATTCATCCGGATTGCTCTGTGATCTGTGTCCCTCGGACACAGTTGATCACAGAGAGATGTAAAGGGCCAATCATAGTGGCCCTTTACCACATGATCAGCTGTGTCCAATCACAGCTGATCATAGTGTAAATAGACTTTCTGGTTATTGGCAGTCTTCTGCTCATGCTCTATGGCAGGATGAGGAGAAGAGAGCTGCTAAACAGTGATTCTCACAGAATATCTACACTGATAGTCAGGGCACTGATCATCAGTGCCCTGGTCATCAGTGCAGCCCCATAAGTGCCAACCAGTGCCCATCCGTGCTACATATATGTGTCCATCAGTGTTGCTTATCAGTGCCCATCAGTTCTGCCTATCAGTGCCCATCATTGTTGCCTATCAGTGCCGAATATCAGTGCCTATCAGTTCCCATCAGTGCCATCTATCAGTGCCAGCAGTGCTGCCTATAAGTCCACATCAGTGCCGCATATCAGTGCCCATTAAGGCCACACATCAGTGCAGCCTCATCAGTGCTCATCAGTGCCCAACAGTGCTGCCTAATCAGTGCCCCCTATTCAAAGCCCATCAGTGCAGCCTATTGGTGCCCATAAGTGCAGCCTCATCAGCGCAAAAAAATTGCAAAATCTTATAATAGAAACTAAGAATATGGTTACAGTGTTGCATGACCATGCAATTGTCATGCAAGGTGCAACAGCACTGAAAGCTGAAAATTGGCCTGGGCAGAAAGGGGTAAAAGTACCTGGTAGGCAATTGGTTAATAAGTG